TGTCTCTCATGTCCCCTCTTAACTTTCTCTTCTCCAGGCAAAACATTTCCAGCTCCCTAAGCCTCTCCTCATAGGGAATGGTTTTCAGCTTGATAACCTAAAGAGCCGACACTCGTAGTTTTAAACATCCGAAACTGGTGAATAATTGATGATCCCAGATAGAAATGCCAAAAGTGCAAGTCAAGGATAACTTAAAATGTCAAAAGGATATCCTAAATATGAGTATTCCATGAGATAGCCATTTTAGTCTGTTTCAGCATAAAAAGGCGCAAAGGAATTCAGTAGCACCTTCGAACATAACTTAGAATAAGACATTTTAAGAGTAAACGTCCTGGACTCAATAATTTCATCAGACACATCTGATGGTGGACTAAGTCCGACAAAGTAAAAATTAGTTCTTTGTGGGTTTTTCGGGCTGTGTGGCCATGTTCTAGAAGAGTTTCTTTCTGAAGTTTCACCAGCATCTGTGGCTGGCATCTTCAGAGTAAAAGTAAAAATTCCTAATTGTGAGTGTTAATCATTCATTTATGTGCATTTGGAAATTATATATCTCTTTTTAGCATACATTCATGACTGCCTCCTGGAGTGTGGCATTCTTTGCCATTCTCATTAATACATCCGAAATGTACCACATTCTAGATATTTGGCTTGATCTTCATTTAATACAGAGTTGTGTAACTTGCAGCTAGCGCTTCCAAAATAAAAGAATTTTTAAGGTGCATATTTGGTGGGTTATTATGGGAAGCTTGGCCAGCAAAGCAAGGAGAGGGTGTATTTGGAGGTGTATTATTAGTAAGACTAATAATCTATTTTATTTGTGCGGGTTTTTTTTACCAAAAAAAATTCTGGAAAGCTTGAGAAATAGGACTAAAAAATTGAAACAGCTGAAAAATGAGAATTCTATTCTTTGGTAGAATTCGAAGATATAGCTGTGTTAGTCTGTAGAATCAGTATGTAGAGAGATCTTGTAGGCAAACAGAAAGATCTAGGAAAAAATAATAAAAAATATTACATAAGGAGGTTTAATTATCTAAAATAAGCAGTACATATACAAACAGTAGTTTTCTGGTATCCAGGTTAACAGTGTGTGGACAAGACAATCTATTGGAGCATCCAGGATATAGAATTTATTGCCTGATATAATCCTTACTTATACTGGAGGGCTTTGTGCAAATAGGCAAATTATTGTGCTGTTACGACAGCTTTATTTTCCACTGAGGAAGACGTTTAGTTGAAACCCATTTGGTTTTATTGTTATTTGGTATCTTTTATATTACATATCCTCTGGAAGTGCATAGACTAGTGCTCTTTCATGCACTTTGCATGTTGGATCTTTTTATATTGTATATGTTATTTGAGAATTCTAATCTTTTATGTAATTGGCTGTGCATCTATTTTGTTTACATATATACAGAAAACATATACCTTACTTGTGGTTCTTACTTTTTGGCACAGTGTATTGTCTTGTCCACACACTGTTAACCGTACTGCTCATTTTAGAAAATTAAGCCTTCTTATGTAATATTTTTTCATTATTTTTCCTAGATCTTTCTGTTTGGCAAACAGAAAGATTTTTCAGTCAAAGCAAAAAGATGTTGTCCTAAACCAAAAAACAGAAAAATCTGAAAAATCTTGTAGCACAATTCAACTCTTTATACAACATGAATTATGCAGAGTTTACAACAGTTACTGACGGAACTACAGGTTCCAAAATCTCCCAGCCAGAATGACCATTCTGAAGGATTTGGAGAATTTTAGTTTGAAAAATCTTTATTTAAAAAAAAAAGCTCCAAACATAGAGAGAGATTGACTTTTAGCATTTTGGTGACTCTCCAGCTGATTGTTGTATGAAGAACCAGTCACAATTTATTCTGGTATATCAATGTTAATGTCTCTTTGTATGTCTTTTCTTTGCTATATTCAGTATTTGCTATATATTAATGAGAGATTGCAGCTGTTGCCACATAGCAAAATTAAGGCAGTTTGACACTGCTTTAACTGTCATGGCTCCGTCCTATAGAATCCTGGGATTTGTAGTGTAATAACAGTGCTTGCTGACATTGAAGGCTAAATAGCTCAGAGAAGGACAAATCCCAGAATCCCATACCATTGAGCCATGGCATTTAAAGCGGTGTCAAACTGTCTCAATTCTGCAGTGCAGATGCAGTCTACAAATATACCTCTGGTAAAGATGTAGGTGTGCTCTTGGGCATTCCTTTTTTAAACATAAAAGATGACAACCCTAGATGGTACAAACCTGGCAGCCCTATTGAAGAAGGATCAAGAGGCATCCAAAAAGGCCCATGAGTGGCCCTTGGCTTATTGGTAATAAGAAAGGCAATAAAAGAAAGTCGGTACCCCATCCATCAATGTTGTGTGTGTGTATGTGGTGTATCTTCAGGTCATTTCTGACTTATGGCGAACCTATCACAGTGTTTTCTTGGCAAGTGTCTTCAGAGAGGGTTTGCCATTGCCATCTTCTGAGGCTGAGAGAGTGTGACTGGCCCAAGATCACCCAGTGGATTTTCATGGCAGAGCGGGGATTTGAACCCTAGTCTCCAGAGTCATTGGCCAGTGTTCACTTAACTATACCACCCTGGCTCTCCCATCAAGGTTACCGGATTCTTTGTGATTGGCTATAAATAAATAATTTATTATTATTATTATTATTATTATTATTATTATTATTATTATTATTATTTGCTTTTCTAGCTGGGTCACCCAGTCACTTGATTTCGGCTTGCACAAAACCCTGCAGATAGCAGTATCTATTTTTTACTTTCTTTCTACGAAACCAGGCAGGAGTAATCTGATAAGAAGCTGATGATCAAACCGGGTGGTTTTTTATTTTCTCTCCCATCAACAAGAAAAACAACAACAACCAAACCTCATGTGCCCATCCCCCTAAATAATACGCAAGTGGAAATGTTGTGATGTTAGTTGATGTGATGTTAAATTCGAGAGTGATTGTTTTATTATAGCAAAAGGGGAAAAAACTCAGCACCTCGTGGGACATCTCAAAGTTTGTTTGGTGGTATGTTAAGCCCATTTTGAGAGCCAGCATAGTATAATGGTTTGGATGTTGAACTATGGCTCTGGAGGCCAGGGTTCGAATCCTGGCTTGGCCATGGAAACTCACTGGGTGACCCTGGGGAAGTCACACTCTCTCGGTCTCAGAGGATGGCAATGGCAAACCCCCTCTGAAGAAACTTGCCAAGAAAACCTCATTATAGGTTCACCTTAGGATTTCCATAAGTCGGAACCAAATCTAGGAGATACAACAACAACACCAACAATAATAACAACAACAAAGTCCACTTAGAGCCAGGATAGCACAATGGTTTCAGAGTTGCAGAATTATTGCAGTTTGACACCATTTTAACTTCCATGGCTCAGTGCTATGGAATCCTGGGATTCTTAGTTTGTTGTGACACCAGAGAACACTGACAGAGAAGGCTAAATGGCTCACAAAACTACAGATCCCAGAATTCTGTACAACTGAGCTGTGGCAGTTAAAGTGGTATCAAACTGCATTAGTTCTGCAGTTTAGAAGATGCAGCCTAGGAGACCAGGCTTCAAATCCCTGCTCAACCATGGAAAGGCGCTGGCTGACATTTTGAGTACATTGCACTCTCAGGCTAAGAGGAATGATATAGTGTATCATCAATGCAGTATAACTCTTTTTAAAAAGAAAAATAAATTTAAAAGGAGGTGGGAAAGGAGAGGGAGATTATTTTTGTTCTGATATGTCTCAATTTTGTAAAGAAACCTATGCAAGTGTGGGAATAAAATGTTGCAGGTAGTGCTAGGAATTGCCAAAAAACAGGACAACAGAAATATCACTTGGATACATAGATGCATTGAGGGATGGAGTTCTATGGAACAAGCAAACAAGGTGTTGAAGGATGATGCATCCAGTCCCTTCCTACCAGCAAATGGGGGTATGAAGACTAGAAGCTGGGACCAGAAGTAGGGACCTTGGTACACTACAATTCCTTGGTACACCACTGTTCGCAGGTGGAAAGAGGCTGGAGACATCATTCTTC